TATTAAGGCCTTATTAAGTCCATATTAAGGAGCTATTACTGTAGGGGGGATTGACCTAATGAATACCACTCCCTTTGGAAAATGTCGGTAAGCTTCTTACCATACACCTTGAATTTCAATCCCTAAACCTAAGTAATCCGAACCCAAACCTCCGAAACCCCAACCCAAAACCCTAAATTCAGCCCCCTAAACCCTAAGCCATAAACCCTAACTCGTGTAAACCCTAAACTCCAATCCCTAAACTCGTCCAGGGGCTTCTTCGTGTCCATGATCACACACAGGTGCGCCAGCATCGTCATGCCCCAACAGAGCTGCTCCGTGGCAACCAGGACCTACAGTAGTCTGAGGGTTTAGGGTTTAGGATTTGGTGTTTAGGACTTGGGGTTTAGGGTCTAGGATTTGGGGTTTGGGGTTTAGGAATTGGTGTTTAGGAGTTGGGTTTTAGGGTTTAGGATTTGGTGTTTAGGAGTTGGGTTTTAGGGTTTAGGATTTGGGGTTTAGGATTTAGGTTTTGGGGTTTAGGATTTAGGGTTTAGGGTTAGGGGTTTAGGGGGTTTTCCCGCTGAGGAATTAAGCTGTGGTTTGGGTGTATACTGCGCTACAGTCAAAAACGGATTACAGGCGGATACCCCTGCCAATTCTGCATGCGTCTACGTTCATCGTGTCGGGTTTCAGGCTTACGCAGTTCTAGTGTTATGGTTTCAGGTTGAGCGTATAGGGTTCAGGGTCGTAAATTTGACGGGCTTATGGGTTTGGGTTTGGCAGGTAAGGACTTGGTAAGAAATTCAAGGATTAGGATTTACGGTTAGGTCTAGCGCTTAGGGTTTAGGGCTTTGCCAGTTGTTGGCCACTTGGATGGTTTGGGCCCTGAACCCTAAACACTAAAATCTAGACCCTAAACACTATAGTAGCTTCCATTTTCTTTTCCCTCAAATCCCTATATAAACCCATTATAGTAGCTTCCATTTTCTTTTCCATTATCCCCAAATCGCCTGGCCCTACCGGCCAGTGTACAGGATTTTGAGCCAGTCTCGCATTGATGCTTCGGGCTTTGCAGCCCATATGGTTATAGTCCCCCTCAAGTAGATAGAATATGTGAGGGTTATATTGGGATAATGGAAAAGAAAATGGAAACTACTATTTAGGGTTTAGTCCCCCTTGAGTAGATAGAATATGGGGTATATGGGGATCTTAATATAATCTACCCAAAGCCATATCTTATCTGCTTAAGGGGACTATAGCTTGTTAAAGCTCTAGTTTCTTAAAATGGGAGTGAGGGGGTATCTAGGGGTCATAGAAGGATGCGGGAGGAGATATAGGGCTCAGGAATTCGGATTGTCAAAAGGTATGGTCCTTTCGGGGCACCCTAGATCTTAGGGGCTGGATTATGTTGGCGACCCAAAAACAGACGACAGCTTCGCCCCTGCAAGTCATCCTGAAGCAGCTATCCCACAAAGCTTTGATCCCCTACAACCCGTGTCTTACCCGTGCCTACTGGGGAGTGGGGGCGTGGATCCCTGTAACAACTAGTAATAAGTCCTCTATAAGTAAATATTCCTGTAAAGTTGTGTCTATATTCACTCCCCGACTCCCACCGAAGCATGAGTAAATTTCCAGTGATGTTTTTTGAACACTACCGGTCACAAATGGGAAGCTTGGACCCCTGCAAAACATCAAGTCCTGAAACGTTCAGGGTTTAGGGTCCATGTAGAAATCCATCAACAACAGCCTTTCACTGCACCCCAATCCAAAACCCAAACCCAATCCCTTGCCGGCCTCAGACCCCCCTTCAAGCACTTATGCGAAAAAATCATGAAATTTGCAAAGCTCGTCAAAGTAAGGCTCCACCGTGACCCTATGCGGTTTAGGGTTTAGGGTCAAACAACCCATTGGGCAGCAGAAAGGGATCCCAAACCCCCAACCGCAAGCTCTAAATCCAACCCTGAGCCCTATGTCCTAAAACCTGAATCCTAAACCTGAATTAAGCCCAAAACCCAAATCCTCAGCCCCAAACCCTATACATCCCAAAAACATTCCCTAGAACACTTGCAAAGGGCCCCGAAATCACTGACCCTAAAACCCTAAAACCGGCTTAAACCCCTAGACCCTAAACCCTAAAATCCTAAACTAAACCCTAGACCCCAAGACCTCGAACCTTTGACCCCCAAATCTTGAACCTTAAAACCCTGAATCAAACCCTAACCCCTCAAGCCTACGTAAAGAGCCCCGAAACCAGTAGAGTTTAGGGTTTGGGGGTTTAAGGTTTAATTGTTTGGGGTTTAGGGTTAGTGATTTCAGGACCCTTTGCAGGGGTTCTAGGGAATGTTTAGGGATATATGAGCTATAGTGAAAACTCCTAGTATCCCCCTCAATAACCCCTATAGTAGTCCCCTATATAATCCCCTATATAACCCCCTTTAAGGAGTTTAGACTATAGTACATATAGGGTTTGGGACTGATTCCCTCCCCGGCCTGAATGGCGCCAGCCTCGAAAAGCCTCTCCTGGGTTTATGGGGTTAAGGGTTAAGGGTTTAGGGTTAAGGTTTTAGGGTTTAGGGTTTAGGGTTTAAGGTGTGTATGTGGGTCCCTTGAAAGGATTTATAACGATTTGTAAAGTTTACAGGTTTGGGGTTTTAGGCCGTTTAGGGTTTAAGGCTATGTATGCGTGCTCTCGGAAGCCTACGTGGAAACCCACACAGCCGCCTTGACGGGGTGAGTAGTCTACCAAGAAATCTCCTTTTCAGGTTCCATGTCTCTTTAGTGAGTGTACAGAACAAAACCGTGCCCATTCCATGCTTCTCAAAAGGGCATGGGGGAATGCGCAAACCCTAAACCCCAGACCGCGTCTTCTTGGGGGGGCCGGATGTCGTCTTATCGGGGCCACTCTAGGGAGTTCACAGGCTTGGGGGTCAGCGCGGATTTCTGTAAAAACCAGCATCTCGAGATCCTTGCCGGAGCCACCAAGAAGAATAGTATCGCAGTAATACTAATGATGGTAACAATAGCGATAGTATCACAACGAAAAATCACCGTGCAACTGTGATAATGCTGAGAAGAATGATGGCGAGAAGTTTTAAGTAACCCAACCCCGTGGTAAAGATCCCGCAAGAGGCACTATGATAGTACAAGAACTCACCCCTTAGTTCTTAGCCTCAAACCCTACACCTCCAAAAGAAACTCCGAGGCCCCAAGTCCAAAGCCCAAATCCTGACTCCTTATCCTTCTCAAAACCTGAACCCCACATACCGTTTGCAATACCTTTTGCAGCCTACACCCCCAAACCCTCAACCCTCAAATAACGGTAAAACCACACCCCCACCTCTAAGACTCTTAGCACCCAACTCCCTAAAACCCCATACAACCCTCAACCCTAAGCCCTAGACCCTAAAACCTTGAATCCTAGAAACAACAAAAAAGGGGCCTAGACCTTAGCACCCTAACTCCTGGAAACAACAAAAAAAGGGGCTTAGGGGTTGAACCGTCAAAACCCCCCCAAACCCTAGACCCGCACATAAGAACGTCCCAGATTCGATCACAGCTCGCTCGGTTTGGCTAAAGCCTTCATGGAGGAAGCCAACACCGTACCTTGGTGTAACTACCAGGCGTTTGGGAGGGTTTAGGGTTTAGTAGGGTTTAATAAGGTTTAATAAGGTTTAGTAGGGTTTAGTAGGGTTTAATAAGGTTTGGTAAGGTTTATTTGGGTGTAGGGTTTAGGGCTTAGGGTGTTAAGGCTTTAGGCTTTAGGGCTCAGGGTTGGGAATGAGGGACTATGGATCCCTGCACCTTGGTGTCAGGTTCACAATATACCATACATATATATATATACATATGAATATGTATATATGTTGATGTACATATATGTATGTGTATATATATATAGGGGTTATGGTATATACTGGGGTTATATTAGGA